CCTATACCCCAGCACCTGATGTAATGATGTATTCATTTAGTGATAAAACAACTTAACCTATATTTTGTATTTGCCTTTCGATAACTGATTGCAAATATTTATTATATATTTAATGCTATATTGAATGCGAGAAAGTATTTGTATAACGATTGGTGTTTACTCATGAAGAATGGCTGGAATTGAATGAATGGGAAGCTAGAAGTCGTGTGAATCCAATCAATTGACTATCAATTTATATATCGTTTTGTTAAATATTTTTTGAATTTAATTTTCATTTCATTTCATTGAGTGTAAGGTCTGTGTGGAGGGCAGGGCTTAGGCATAGTGTGTGTATAATCGCCGCACAATTGTTATATACCTGTGAGAGAGTGGTTGTATACCTGAAGCACAGGTATGTATGAGTGCCGAGAGTTGTATACCTGTGCCTAAAAACTCTGCTCTAACGCTAACCGCTGTGGAGAGCGTATGGTAGAGAAGGGGCACTACTTTTGTCCCATATATACAACAATTGATATCATAATAAGTGTTGATATGATATAACAAAATACCAGAAATTGTTTGAAACAAAACTCAAACTTATGGTGTATTTGAGAGAATATAATCGATGTTTACTCTAACTCAATGTCAAATCCATTGTGAACGCGATTGTAGGCAATGGACGACTCGGGTAATCACGCAGAGCTCATCTTAGACCAAGAGGTCTACTGTTCCCACAAAAGCCGCGGATGTCGTAAAGTAATGGCGCTCTCGGAACTCGATGTATGTCTTTTGCTTATCACTAATTATCCGCAATATGTTTGTAATACAATACTTTGCCTCCACTTTCCCCTCGCTCTTTGCCAGACACACGTGAAGGCCTGTATGTATAGTTTGGTCCCGTGTCCGCTGAAGTGCGGTCAGGCCATCACCATTAAGTCGTTGCCCCAACACATGGCGAGTCTGTGTCGGCGACGAATCGCTTTGTGTCAGTATTGCGAGGAAGAGATCGCGTGGGAAACCAAAGAAGAGCACGAAAATAGTTGCCCCAAAAGACCGGTCAGTTGTATGTATTGTCACAAACACACTATCATTCAGAAAGAGTTGAAGTTTCATCTCGACAACTGTCCACTCAAACCAACCAACTGTAGACTTAGGCCATTGGGATGTAAATACATGGTATGTCTGCCGATACACACTTTGCCACAACTTTATTATTTGACTAAAAACTCCCCTTTTTTAATGAATAGGGAAATCAACTGGAAGTGGATGAACACGAGTCCATATGGTCTACACATATGGATATTATTCTTAAATATATTCTCCAGAATAATAATATTAATGGACAGCAGGTATAATATGTCATTGTATTTCTGATCATTATATACTCCCTTTAATTCCTTATATTTAATACTATTATATATAAGTTTATAATTCAATACCAAACAGACCTAAAAATGAGAATTAAGTGATTATTTTACTAATTAATACTATTTTGACAGCAAAAGCACACATTCGCTTGAGTTAACATGTTTTCTATTAAATTATTTATTTATAAATACAATTTTGTTTGTTTAAATTTAATGCTAGTTTTCAATGATATGATTAAATGCTATCAAATTTCAAACTCATTTATTCCCTACAATATGTACAGTATATCATATGATATAACACAATATGTTTTAAATTATAAATGCATTAATATTTACATTAACATAATAACTGCTAACTATTTGAGAGTTATTTTGAATACAGTATCGAATTAATAAGGAAGAGAGAAAGTATATGTAATTCAATACTTTTCTATAGACTATAGCATAAACTTTAAAGTATTAAAGTTAAAAAATCAATATTTAACAAGAATATACAATTATAGAGAAGCGGTGAATATTTACATAAAAATTACATTTTGTTTGATTTCGGGACGAATATTGAATTGAATATAAGTTTATTGTAAAAATCTATACATTCATTCATTTTATGTGACTTTCCAACTATCTCTTAATTAGTGAACGAAATGCTAAATAAAAAACAAAATGATTGTAAAAGTGATTCATTAAATAGAGTTAGAGTTAGAGAGCATTCATTAAATTCAGACTCAATTCAATTCGTCACTTAAACAGACGTGAATTTATATGATTTAGTCATTAATTCTTTCACTCATTCATTGTTACGAATAAAATAAATGATAAAAAACTAGATTTTAGATATTTATTGTTATATTGTTTGCGTCGATGAAAAGGATAAGTCAAAGAACCGAATGGCAGATGTGGTGCAGATCGTGAAGAACCTGAACAGTGAAAACTCTGAACTAACCGATAGAGTAAATGAGTTGTGCGAAAGAGTGGAATCACTGGAAGCGACTAATAAGACACTAACGGAACAGTTGACGAAATTAGAAACCATAGAAAAGGCTGACATCGCGTCTATGAGGACATTGATTGAAGTATTGAGAACAGAGCTCGAAGTAATTGCATTGAATCTCTTTTGCATTGTGTCCACAATTGATATCATGTTTTTATGTCAAACCTTTTTAACACAATTTATATGCATTTTTACGTTTGAATAGGAATTCAGAGCTAATGTCTCGAAACAAAGAGAAGACGACGAAGAATCCGAAGTTTGAGTATTCTTTCAACAGTCCATTGATTTTCACATAATTTATGAGTTTTCCTTTGATATCCACATAAAACTATTCAACCGTTTATTTAATAACGACTTCTTTTATAGACTTAAGATTTTTCAGACCATTATTTTCTATACATTTTCTAAAGCGTCGAGTATTGCATAGGAAGTGAATTAACTGTTATATACCTTATTCTGTAGAAAATATCCTCACATATGATATCTCTGTTTGAATGAAAAGCACTGTTTGTGCCAAAAATGTCAGCAAAACGAGAGGCAAAGATGAAGAAGAAAACAACGAAAACATAAAATCCTTGTTTTAATATAATTAAAAGAGAAATGTATATAAAGTTACATAAAATGCTAATATAAATGAATTTCATTTAATGTCAAAAACTAAATGCACACCACTTTGTGCCGCCATTTGTGAAGATATAGTATTAATTGTCATATCATTCCTGCCATCAAATAAAAGTGATAATTAAACACTAAATTTGCTGTAATTTTATTTTATAATTCATTTATAATCTTTACGAAAATAACATAATTCTCACAAATAATTGATTGCATGTTATTATTTATAGTACAGAATACAAGTGCTGTACTTCTAGTCAGTTATCAAATAATTAATATATTTTTATTGACATTATTCTTGCGTTAATTGTTTGAAATAATTGCTACAATACTTACGCTTTGATCATTTGTCAACACTTTTGAGTGGTTTAGGCCTTACTTCGGGAATATCTAATACACGGATCATAAATAAAATACAATTTGAATTCAGTTTATTGTGAAATTTATTTATTTATTTAGTTATTCATAAATTGATTTATCAATTAATATACAGATTTATATGACTAGTGATCAACTAAATTGTCTTTTTGTTTTATACATAGCCTTACAATTAATACAAATATCAAATAATGTGCCCAAATATACATCAGACTTGTAATCAGTCATTATTATTATATATCCATCTCTTTTTAAACATATTTAACAGTGTTTTCGCTCTAAAAAACAATTATTAAGTGTTTTAATCAAATAATTTAAGTTATTTTACAGAATAATCTTTGTTTTACACAGAATTTGTCAATTAATTGCAACAATAGATTACACTTTTACTATTCATATCGAAGCAAAAGTTAGAATAAATTTCAACAATTCTTTCATATAATATATATATTTATATTTTATAAAGGGATCTATTTTTTTGTATTTGTCTTTTGGGTTCAAATGATTGTCAAAAAATAGCGGATTATTCTCTATATTCTCGAAAGGAAAACAATGTTTGGAAAAAATTACAGAAAACTTAACGAATGGAAAGAAATTGGAAAACAAATAAATAAATAAAGTTAATAAACATTAGCGCAGAAAATAAGATATAATTATTAGAATTTAAAACAATAATAATAATAATTGGCTTAACTCTAGAACCGAAACACTAAGAAATTAATGGCTAACAGGAGTTGTCTCACAACCGCTACTTAGAAATTAAATTATAAATTAAATAGAGATCAAAGCACTCGTAGCCCTATTAGCGATGTGTGTCTTATAGTCTATTCATAAACAATAAGTCTATGTTTTTAATTGAAGAGAAAAAAGGGGAACAAATGAATGAGGAAAACAATTTTCAATTTAAAGGACAATTCAAAAAAGATATTTAATTCGCGGGATATGTCTAAACAGTGTGTCAATTGTGTCTGTCGTTTGGCTCAACTCTCAAACTCAAACTTTCTGGCATTTAAGCGCCGGTCGTATTGTATTGTTTGGTGTTTTATGTTATCTTTTAATTGGAAAAAATCACAAACTCTGTACTCATGAGGCAAATGAGGCATTAGAGTGAAGGAAGTAAACCATAGATTAAACGCTTGTCGTTATACAACTACATCTAAATTCAAGAAATAAAACAAATGAAAAGTTTGATTCAAACAAATGCTTTCAGCAAATTAGCCGTCGATTTACAAAATCATTTCAATTTTTTGTTTGTTTCTCGAAATCTTGTATTAATTGTCGTTCGTATGACTAAAACAGCTAAATATCATATCTTATGGGATATTGATATCATATCTACAAAAAGTAATTCTCATTTTTAAATATATTGTACACTATATATAATAATCTGAAACTCTATTTTTCATTATTAACTCGTTTTGTCAAACAAAACAATAAATTTCCGCATTTCTTATCAGTTATGATCTGATTGTAAACTGACTTTTATTTTAATAGTGATTTTAAATATCAATTAATTTCTAAGGCATCCTATGTTTGTCTTACGACACCATTAATCCCATGGTTTGAATGATGGCATCAAATATTCAAATATTTTTTACTATAAGATATAAATTGATTTTAAGTTATATTTTTTGTTATCTATTTGTGGAAAGCATTCCATCATTTTCTCAATCAATCAATCATTTAATGAATATTTCATATATAATCTTATATTTAGCACAATCTGTCGGTGCCATCGATTTTCTGCACAGTTTAATAATAATTTATTATTGTTTTGTAAGATCACAGATATTTATGAAATTGTATTTTTCCAAAACTTTTGTTTAGGTTTTTTAGTCAAAACACTTGTATTTACGTAAAAATGTTGTTTTGTTTTCCGATTTTAAAAACAAATCAATTAATTAAAAAAGTTTTTGTTTTGTTCTAATGTTATATCAATAGACGAGTGCATAAAATAGTGCTTAACATAGCATTAGAAGACATTTAAATAATTGAAATAATAATGTATTTTCTCTTTTTAAATATAATATTTCTATTTCTATTAAATTCAAAAATTCGTCGATTCATTATTTGAGGCAAAAAAAGTGCTTAAATACTAACAAAATATTTTGTAAAAATTATAAACAATAATTATTTCATTTAAGCTTATGGTCTGTGGGTTTAAACAAAACACAAAAAATATTTCTTTGCCTAAATAGTGAATTCCACGAGTTCTCAAATAAAAGTCAATAATAGTATCACTATTTAAGTTAAGATTTAATATTTGGATAACCAATAGAATTGACACTTGAATTGAGTGAAATGTTAATCGCAATCAAGAGTTTAATTGTGTAAACAAGTGTTGGATTCGACAAAGAAGTCGACCACTGAATCAACATTTTTGTGTGAATTTTGAGTGAGAGTGCGAAGAGAAAGGCGTCGATGAGAACCATCGGAGACAATATATATAACTTGTGGTCAATTGGTTTGTGTCATCTCTACTGGAACTGAAAGGGATGGGAACCACAGGCGGCGAACACGGGTTGAGTGGCGTTCATCACTACAATCGGCGATCTGTCCCGCAATGAGTGACTGTTGTGGTGATCGAAGCGGCGGTATAGCGAAGAGGCAGTACTACTCCTACCGGTGCCGCCTGTGGTTCGGTCTGAATTAGAGCGACGACTAATTGTGGTTGGAATGGAAGGATCAGATGAGGACAAGAGGATAGCACTGGCGGATATGCAACGCCGGCTACTCATGGCTTCACTAATATATGATTGACTATTGGTGTCGGCGCTCGACAACGGATTAGCATTAATCGATGGATTGGTGGCTGAACTCAGTTCTGGCACTTCTAAAGCACTGAAATCAACGCAATTGTCGTTATTGTCGGCCATTTTTCTAGAATTTCGGTCGTTTTGCATGAATTGCAAACATTTAGAGTTATTCGCTTCGACTAATGGACTGATACTTCGACACTGTGTGGTAATCACACCGTTATTGTTATCCATAATTGCACTGTTGATTGAGAAGTGAGAGCTGTGTTCAGTCCCTAAGCCCAAGCTATCGATGGTGGGCGCGATGCCCAACGTATTGACCACCTGTTCGGTGACCAGCGGTGGGAACAGTTTGAGAGCGATGGCCAAGTCGTGCAGAACTTCGATCTCTTTGTCTTCAATGAGTTTAAATTTATCGTTAAAGAGAACCAAATGAGCAAAAATGCAATTGAGATGCGAGTGAAGACTCAACAGCACTATCTCTTTGAAGTGCGAGTGATATATATGTGACAACACGTGATATAATAGTTTCAATATCTTTCGGACGATCGCTTCAAAAGTCGTCGGAAACTCTTTATCTAAAAATACAAACAAAACACAAAAGTTAAATAAATAGCGGATAAAATATTATATCCATATATCAAACGCTTATATATTTTGTTCAAATATTTCATTCAACAAAAGAAAAAATCAAATTTATTTCAGAATTGTTTGAAAAATGCGAGAATTTATTAAAAATTCCTTTCATTCAAAATTTGTAACTATTTTGACATAAAAATTCTGCACAGAATTTGAGAATTCAGGAGAAAACTGAATGCAATATATAATTATATTATTTGTATATCTCTCCAAAAGATCACTCATTTAATGCTCATTTAAAACAACTGTTCATATTTTACGTCCAAAAATAAATTTTTGCAATTTTAATGAAAAAAATACAAAAATCTCTTTTCATAGAAAAAGAAGAAATTTTGGAATGAATTCTAAACATAAATGAAAGAAATAAATAATAAAAGACTTTTAGCAGAAAATAGTCGGTTTGAAGAGTAATTCTAACAAAACTATTATTCATATACAAGAAAATTGTTTGCAAGACATTAGTTGATTGCATAATGTCTTACAAAATAATTATAATATTACGAAACAAAGAAGTGGTTATATATTCACCAAATTTAGTGGGGAATATCAACTCGTCGTTAACAGTCTTTTGTGTAAAAGTCATGACATAATCGATATATTGAGGCGCCGCTACTTTACATCTCTTCCCCTTCTCGTCGATCCATAGGTAAGATCTGTAACAAAATTGGAGCAAAATTTTATAATCTTTTCGCCAATAAATCAAATTCTTAGCCACTATTCAAACAAACGGAATAATAAAAAGCTATTGCAGAACATAACGCAAAACCATACAAACACTTTATCAATCTCCACAAACAGGACATTTAATAACGTATGTTAGAAAAATTGTTGATATATTATAATCAAAATTGGTTCATATAAATGGTTATCATTATGTATATATAAAGTGTACAATATATACCTATTGCAAGGGCCGGTCATATCAGGACATCCAGACATACTGCAGAACTCGGATATCGTGCCATACAATAGGTTTATGTGATCGAAAAATGCCAGAGCTTTGAAAACAGACAAACAATTGGTTAGAGATTGTTGTGAATAGAAAATGAATTATCGGTTCAGAAATCAAATAAAAGAATGATTTTTGAGAAAAAAAAGAATAAAAGTAGAGATTTGAAGAAGAGATGGAGTGATGACTGAAATGGTCACAGAAATGGTCACATACTGTGTGAGGCCAACCATTCGTTGTAATCGAGACCTTCGGGCAAATTAATGATTTGACGCAATTTGTCTTCAGGTGTTGTGCACTCGAGCAGTGCTGAGTGGAGATATTGTTTGGCTTCTTCTTGCGAAGAGGTAACAGCGCTCACATCCTTGTCCTTACGACGAGCTTTCCTGTAATCGACAACAAGACAAACACAAATCAATTACTAACTAATTATATAACTATTATTTTGTTTCTATAATAAACGCAACACTTATTCGTAAACTTTAAAGAATTGTATAATTAATTCAATAATTGTTTATTGAATAGAAAGAAAAGCACAGAAAAAGGATTGTTTCGGAGTTTGCACTCAAATATTCATTAATTGTTTATTTTTATTTTTAAACTCAAAGATTTATTTTCAAACATTTAGATAAATGTTTATTAATCGCTGATTACAATCAAGATTTGACTCATTTATTCATTCAAAATATTTTAATTTTAGAAATTAGAATAAAATGAGTGTTTTGTTTGCTTTTTAGCCCAAGAAAAACATTTATATAAATATTAAACATTTTAAACATATTTGTTAAGAAAAAAATATAATTTAACACAATATAAAGTGGTATTTGTATGCAAAACGTGATCCGCGGCTCTCCTATTACTCCAACAAAAATAGGACCAAACCTTCACTTCAATTCACATTCAATCGAAATCTCAATTTTCCCATTAGTTTATGTGTTTTCTTACATTCATGAATATTTAATATGAATTATTTATAATAAACATGATATCCATTAATTTAATGTATACTTTTTTAGAGACAGAATTACACTCTTTTCCCGTTATATTAATTCAAATTAAATATTAAATAAAATCTTTGAAATATTGATTTTTTCAAAAATACTCCAGTAATACATATTATGAACATTTATATACAAAGCAATAAATGTAAAGTTAATTGAAAAAAACTAATAAATTAAAAACGGCTGTAAAAGTGAAAGAAAAAAATTATTCAGACATTGGGTTTAGATTTATGGCAATAAATGAATTTCCAGAATATTTATTAAACACTTCAAGTGTTTTGCAATGAAGATAAGGTCGTCAATACATATGCTTATTATTCATACAATATATTAAATAATTTATAATATATTGAAAACCAAAATATAAATGAATCGCATTTCAAAATTGTTTTTATAGAGATTTAACGCTCGTTTTGCTTGCGATCAATAGTTAGCAGCAATTAATATAAGATTAATTATTTAATATCAATTATTTTGAGTCCAATTATATTCCCAAATAAAGCAATGAAAACAAGAATAAAATTCACAAATCGATTAAATGTAAAAATTGACGGAAAAAATTGAAAAACAAATAAACATTTATTGAAATATTATTTTAAATCATTTAAATAAATGAAATAAAAATTCAATATTTAATAGAAAGATATTAATATGAAATAAAATCCATTATTGAAAAGCAAATTGAATGCATCGATACATTTGAGCAGTAAATGCAAGTAATGAGAGACAAAAAATGTTTGTATCAAATAAAATGGGGAATAATATGACTACTGATTACCCAATGAGTGATATGAAATTGAATGAACAATGAGACCAAACTCTCATCACAATTGGCCAGATTAATGGACACCCGATGCAAGTACTCGACCCAATCAGTTGGGTTTGATGGCTGGACAGAGAGGGTCGGGTTGGCAACCGTTCACACTTGCCGTCTATGGCATTCACGTCAACCACTTTTATGTCTTCACATTTGTATTTAATTGGAGTCGAGTTATGTTGAGATGAAAATCGATATGAATAACAATTACTTGTATTGTATTTGTTATTATTGTTAAATCGATCTCTCGAGTCAAATATGTAATTATAATCCGACTTAATATCGATTTCATTACTACAGACAACTTGTTTTAACAACATTAGAGTTATTTCTCTTATAAAACTCCATCAAAAACAATAGTTTAAGAACTTTTATATATTTGTTGTAAATTTAAAAAACTTTTCAATTGATAGAAAATTGTATATAAAACACGATAAAAAACTTATTCACTAATTGGCAAAATTAGTTGATATAAATGATTAACAAAGTATATGGTAATGAAGTTTGTGTTCATTTAATAAGATTTACAATCGGATGTTAAGCGATGCGAAAAGTGTCATCAAAAAAGGCATAAAGTCTCACGAAATCTGGTTTTTATTGAATGAATAGTTTCGGTGTATATTTGAGCGCAAGAGTCGAGTCGAGTCGAGTAACTGAATCTCAATTGTAATTGTTTTCCAGTGAACACATCCTTAGTCTTAAATGTTGAGCGCAAGTGTTGTCGACGATAATCAGTGCAGTCGTACACTATATGTCATATAAATCATATGCAATACTAATAGTGTTTTATATAATTTTCGCTTAAAATGTGTTTTATTTAACGTCGAGAGAAACACACATACAATGATTCAAACCATTAATTCAAATGATTCGCAACCGACTTATGGAAACAGTTTCCAATATAAAACACTTGATATAAATTATTATACAAACTGAACAAAATATGAACAAAAAAGCTATAGTTTTAATTACAATCGACGGGAAGAATGGTAGAGAAGAAGCGATTTTGGGTCACTTTTAAATCAATATTCAAAAGCTATTACTATAACTAATTTGTTTTTCGATTCAATTTCTCATTTGTCGAGATTATTGTTTGTATGAGAAGTGCAAACAAAACACTTTGAAAACCATTCAAACCATTGTTTTTAATGAGAACTTTTTGATGCGAATTCACGAATAATTTTTATGCGAAAATATTTGTAATTTTAATACAAATATGTTTTGTCAGTCAAACAAATGAATGCACTGTAAAAAAGTATCTTAAAAATATAATACAATACAATCTGTTTGTGAAACCATTTGCTGAATATAATCAATATGTGAATAAAAATCGGACGAAACATAAGTCACACACAAAAACGAAGCATATCTTAGACGACAACACAACTAATAAACATGTCTTTCGGATAACAATTGAAACGAGATTTTGCTTCGCTTTTTGTAATCGGATTTATTGAACAAATTTAATATTAAGAGAAAATATAGTTATGTTGTCATAGAGTCTACACATAAAGAATGAGAAAAACAAGCGATTCTTATCAGAGAAAAATAAAATATATTACAGAATCTGATAACAAAATGTCACTTAAATTAACATAAGCTCAAAGAATTTTATTTAAATATATTTTATTACTAAAACCATTGAAAATTCATAAACAAATTCCTAGCTTTAATATTAGTAGTTATGTAAATGTCTATCAAAAACTTACTACTATTATACTTTAATAAAGAGCAGTAGTTTTATACATTATACAAATTGCTAATATACTAGACTTTGTTCTTATAATAAAAATGCATTTAAATACTGAAAAATATATTCACTCTTTTATATTTTGTTGACTTTTTAAAAATATTTTTCAACCAATTTTGGTGTGAAATGTGGAAAAAAGTAAATTTATTGTTTGAAAATAAGTCCATAATTGGAGTCTTTGTGTGCATTTAGTAAATGGAAAGGAAGAGTGTATATCCTGTTGGGGTTGGGGTTCATATAACACCATAATGTAAGAGACCATTTGACATGACTTTTAGGGGTTTTACTATTAAAATACACGCAAAGAAATATTTAAGACATGGGTTTGTATTTAGTAAATGTGTTGTGAAGAGCAGATGCGGATGCGATCGCTTAAGGGATGTGTGCGGAGGCCCACGGATCAGATGGATGACTGTCTGCCAGCCATACGCCAAAAGTCACTACAATTGTGTTCAAAAGCATACGATTGGCAAAAGAATCGCATCAAACAAAGACAACATAAGTTACTTTGTTTTAAGACAAGACTATTAATAAATTACATTATAGTTTAGATTTAATTGTATTTCCATAGGAATGACATCAACCAACGCATAGATCAAACAAAAAACTACACAAAAGTTTTACTCTAAATACATTTAAGTTTCGTTAAAATATTGCTAAAAATAATTGTATTAATATTTGATTGATTGCATTCACTGTCAAAGTAGTGAACAAATTAAATAATATTCTTAACGCATTGCTTAAGACAAACAAGTGTTATAATCAGCGATAAAGTTGTCAGACTTTGAAAACATATGAAAGTCATAAAAGTTTCGTTCAAAAAGAAATTTTGTTAAAAAAATAAGAATATAAATGAAAACAAAGCAAAATTTATTGTTGAGAAATAATAGACAACTTTATTAGAAATCTGTTAACACATCCAATGATTAGATCAGCAAAATTAAGTTCACTTTGAAGGTGACCCTCGACATCGACAAACAGGCGATACGCTTTCGGTTTGATTTATAATATAACAAATGATTTGAGAATATTTCAAGAATTACCTTAATTATTAATAAAACACAAATTGAATTATTAAATTGCATAACAACTTATAGCATAGTAACCATAGTCTCCCTCTCTCTCTCTCTCTCTCTCTCTCTTATAAGAGATATATACGTTCACTAAAATAGTATTTCGTTTGAAATGACAATAATTGGATTTTTACGAAAAATCCCAACAAATTTCCTAAAAGAAAATCTTTGATCGACTCTATAGTGAACACAAAAAAATGTAATAACATTTTTGCTGTAAAAAGTTATTCTGGATTTAAAAATAATTTGACGAATTATTTTTTCCGTAACAAACCATCGCTGCTCTTAACCTCTCCTTAATAAGCATTTCTTTATTATTGTGCACTTAAAGGGCATTGAAATCATAGTACAGTATATTTAAGTTTTTGTTTTACAAAAATATTTGTATACTTTTTATGAGTTTATTTTCGATATCAAACAACAAATCTATATTCAAACGCCGAAAATATAAATACAAAACCATTTTTCAAAACAATTAAACAATGTTTGACTGTTTAGAAAGACATAAGAAGTATACAAACATTTGGCGATAAAATATTGGGGAAGAGAATCGTAAATACAATTGAATACAAAGACAAACATTATATGAGATTTTAGTGAAGTATTTTTGGAATCGAAACATCAAAAGCCTATCAAACAATTCAAAACAGATTTACATAACATAAGTGCCAAAAATGTTGGCGAATTCGTACAGGTCTTTGAACTATAACCGAGAATATGATATATTATATACACAACAAAAACACTTTGAACTCAAAGTGAGAATAT